AGATACTATCCATACTCTTTTTTTTTCTTCTTCTTCTTCTTTATAATTGGGTGTTCGAGCCAACTTGTGCACATTTTGACTAATTTCAAGGTCTTGAAGTCCATGACCAGACAAATCTCTAGTGACTTCTGAAGATGACTCAAACTCGAGATCTTATATAAACTACCTTATTCACAAAAAAGAAAAGAAAAGAAAAGTCGTTCATGTTTTGTCCTAAGTTAATTACATTTGATGTAACGCCCCTAAATAATTAACATATGATAACTCTGATTTAATCTGTTTCAATTAAATAATTATAGCATCCTGATCATTATTGACCAATTAAATCTCTACAGTTGAGTTCATTGATATATGAGAGATTTATAAAAGAAGTCCGCATGTAATTACATATTCAATCTCCTCTAAGTTATGAATCTATAACATGTGAGACAGATGAATAATAAAAGAAACAAATACAAAGCAAAGTCCATTGGGCCACAAGTTTTAAGGCTTAAATCCGGTTACAAATAAATGGTTTACAAACTCATACACATAAGCCCTTGGCTTGTGAAAAATATAATAACAAACAAGAGAGCCTTATGCTCGCGAAACATCCATTCGCCTTCACTGAGGTAGAAAGACCACATCATTTCATGTAAAAATCCACTAGGAGTGAGTACAAAACCAGTAAGAAGATCTTAACAAAGTATATATGTTTTAAATAGTTTTATAAATATGTATGCAATGCCATGTCATATTCCAAAAACCACAAGTATTATCTATTTGAAATCTCATGCCAATGTTCATTTCGAAAACATAAATACATCGATGTAATAGAATCATAATACAGGATGGTAAATACGACTCAGGTAGTCTCTAAGATGGTATCTACAAGTAGGTCCCTGTAGACTCAGGTCCAAATCTCATAGAGCAATTTAGAGAATACATGAAATTCGATAGGAGAGATTGAGAGAGTAGATTTGATATTACCATACTAGCAGATCAGAGAGATAGAGAGAGCAGATCTTATCGGATAGAGAACAGATCCGAGAATAAGATCTACATCTCTACATCGTTGAGCTTGCTTCTACTCATTGTTGTTAACGATCCAGATCCAACGCTGCTAGCTTCTCCTGTACGTCATCAGAGACATTAATACGGCACTCATAACCTAGATAAATCGATTTGGAAAGAGAAAATACAAAACAGAAGAAAAGAAACTAGAAATCAACTATAAATCGTTAGTTTCAGCCATGAAAGTTTACAGATCTTATGTGAATGTAGCAAATCCATATCAGAAAACTCTAACCTTTAGCCTTAGATCGACTTAGATAAGAGGGATTCAAGCGATATTACTGAGATACACTCAAATCAAGTACAGAACAAGAATTTCCAGATCATACAACCAAAGAATCCATGGAGATCGAAGATCCAAGACCCTGATTTCTCTCTTTGCCCCTCTCTCTCTCTCTCTCTCACAAAAGTCACGCCTCTGTTCTTTTCTTTTGATCAAAAACCTGACTTTTCAATCCCAAATAAACGTTATTTCACAGCTTTCTATTAACGGTGCACAAAACGAGATAAAATAATTAAATTGGCTGAGAAGGTAAAAAATCATAAAAAATTTCACAACATTTTTAAAAAACGCCAGGAAAAAAAATGTGGTAATATCCTATTTTTCTTGTAGTGACGCTAACAGATAGTTTAAGGCACAACTAGCTAATTAAGGCCAACAATGATAGATACTGCAAAAGTCAAAAGTGCATTCCTATAGTTGAGATGGATCCAACTTTATGAAATAAAAAAAGACAACAATGAAACATATGATTACTCATCCAAGATTAAAAAAAAAAAAAAAACATTCCATACATTTAAAATTAATAGTTGAGGGGTTTGCATGGAAGAGGAAAAATCCGGTCAATACGATACGACTATCTTAATCTAATAGATTAATTAAGGTGGCAGAGAAGTTTATGAGTTTAAGAAACATCTGAAATTAGGTTTCCATAATTCTCGCATGTTTTGTTGTGTTTTTATTTTTGTATTTTAAAAAATGTATAAAACAATAAAAGAGTTTGAAAACATTTATTATTTTCATTTTTGTACAAAAATAATTTTCGAAAACAACTTTGAGATGTTTCTTAAAAGAGTGGGTTGTTTGAATAAAATCTTGAAAACAGTTTTGGAAACAGTTCGTCAAACATGGGATTTATGTCACAGGGTTGAAAAATTTTGACAAAACTTTTAGTGACAAAAATTAACTTTTTGATGACACTTTTATACCTTGTGAAAAATGCTTTTTCGTGTAGTGCCCCTCTTTGTCGCCACTCCGCAACCCCCCATAGCTGCTGCAAAATGCACAATTTGGAGTTGTACCTTACTGGTATTAACAATAGGGAAGGAAGGGGGCGTGGGGTGGCAATGGGGAGGGGCTGGAGGGGTTTGGTAGTTTGGTGCCAAGGGTTTCGGTCAATTAGGGTGTTGTGTGGAGTGAGAAGGAACTTGTGTACCAAAATAGACTTTGATCTAGGTACACTGATTCATTACATACTTCTTGCTGTATTTTTAAACATGTAGAGAGAAAGCAACACTCAAAACTTTAAATCATAGAAAAATAAAATAAAAGCAAAATGAAGGGTTGGTTTGGAATGTTCTAAAAAAGTACACTTTTTGACTTATTGGCTTATATGGGTTGGGTTTGATGTGATGGGTTAGAGAGGTGATGTGATTTAAATAAGATGATGTGACTTAAATATTATAGTGACTTTTTGACTTTTTGTATTATTTAGTGTACCCCAAACCAAGCCGAAATGTCAAAACCTATTTAAAATATTATGTATATATATACATATATGACAATAAACGTCATATGTGTGTATTAATGTAACCAAAAGTTTTGAATTGTCATCAACAAAATGAAAAAAAAAAAAAAAAAAAAAAAAAAACCCACGTCATATGTGTGTATTAATGTAACCAAAAGTTTTGAATTGTCATCAACAGAAGGAAAAAAAAAAAAAAGCCACTAAACATACAAGGCATCTTTCTGTACTAGAAAGTATGTTACTAGCTCGCACTTTCTTGGTTTCAAATAAATTTCATTATTTCAGATAATATTTTTGATAATAGTAAAATATTAAACAGCATAGCTTTAATGAATTATTATGAAGTAATAAAATAGCAAGAAGTTAGTCAATCTATTTGTGTGACGTTACTGGCTACCACCTGGCAATTTTTTTTAAAAAGGTTACTATGCTATGACCAAATTTTATTAAACAAATTAATAATAAGATTTATAAGTTTTATGAAACAGTCCAAGTTTCATCTCTTGGTCTTTTATCTGTACTCAACTAACAAAGCTTTTAAAACTGCCACGATTAATGTTGTCCAACGTAGCTTGTATGGATTTTTTTTTTTTTATTTGTTATGTTATTTATGGTTTTTTTAATCAGATAGGAAATAGAATCATTAGTAACTACTGCAGGAAAATCGGGCAATAGGCTGAAAAAACATCGCAAAAAGATAAAACAACGTTTTTAAAATTCGTCGCTGATGCGGCCGCTGTATCTTTGTGGCGTTTCAAAAACGCCACTAAAGATTTTAAACGACGTTTTTTAAAACGCCACTAATTCTTTGTCGCTGTTAACTATGAACGTTGGAGGGGTTATCTATGACGTAATGATGACGACATTTTGCGACGTTTTTAAGAAAAACGCCACGATTTCTCCTTTCTTTATAAAAAAAAAATCAAAATCATAAATAATGAACTTCTGCTCAAACCAAACCTATATCATTCATCACCATTTTCAAAATATATAACCATAATGTGAGCGAGCATTCATTTTTCAATTTTCCATAAAAAAATAAAATAAAATAAAATAGAATAAAATAAAACCCCTTAAAACACAAATGACAATACAAAAAAATAAAAATAAAAATAAAAATTGTTAATATTTTCTCATTTTAATAAAAAAATAATAATAATAATAATAATATTCAGTGTGCTCTCCAAATTCTCTGAAAATAACTTCAAAGCTCTCGTCAGCTTCATCAAGTCATCACCAAAATAATGATTATATACCTGAATCATCCAATTCCATTAACACAACTTCAATAAACTTGAATGGTTGGAAAATCTACATACTCTTGCATACCATGTCAAGAAGGCTAGAAAGATAAGAAACTATGAACCAGCATGACCAAACTAAGAAAGGTAAGAAATTATACTTAAAAAAAACATCTGAAAAATAGAGAGTTGTACCACACCTTTATAAAGAAAGGTAACAGACAAACTTGAAGCATAAATAGAGGATGCTATGAACCTGAACCATGTGCACAACTGCAAAATCTCATTAGTAAATCTTTGAAAAGCATGCTATGACTATAGCATTTTAAACAAATCAGCATGCTATGAATGTATACAGGTATACGGATCCATCTGGTTTCAAACGAGTCAGCACCGCATCATCATCAAATCAATCGGTAACTAAATAGAAATTAGATCCCTAGGTGTCGATAAGATGGTAAGATGAGAGGATTTGTTATAACTTAAATCTACCTAATAGCTATATGATGTAATATAGCAGTATATACTTCCTCCACACTGTTCTTCCCAAGCCTTACCAAAAACATTTAGTATCTTAAGGTAGACACCAAATCACAGTACCAAATCATAGTACCTAGTTTTGTGCTGGTCTTGCGATTGGCTTAGAGTCCAAATCATAGCAGACTAGAGCCCTGCCCTCAATAAAATAAATGAACCCATAATAAGCTTATAAATGTTTTGTTAGTAGTAAAACAAACAACTAAACAATGGTATATGATTATTTATTGGCAGATTTGGGTAGAGGAATTGTAAATTCTCTAACAAGAAATAGATTCATATCAAATAGTGTTACATCTATGAGATTGAAAAATAGGTTTATCAAAGAGTATTTATCAGGATCATACAACATAATGAATTTGTAAATACGTTGCTAGAGGATCCAGGGGAGCACCTCCAATGCCCATCAATATATGATTTTTTAATAGAACAGAAAAACAGTTAAAACCACTGACCATAATGCATCGGTAGACCAAACTGCAAGTATAGAACAATGATCGGATGAGTAATCTGTAGAAACTGACCCAGTTTCAGACATCCAGTGCATAACTGGTGACCAAGCAACAACAAGTGATGATAGCATTGCATTGCGAGAGGCATATTGATCTGCAGTTATTTGTTGGAGACTGGATCTTTCTGGTATTTTCTTTAGAGGTTTTGCTTTCAAATTAGGCACAGAAACAATTTGACTCAGATTATTTGCTTTCTTATTGTTAGATTTGATCCCAACTACCTAAAGGAAGGTAACAAAAATCAGAAAAACGCAGAATGGAACAAAAGTATATTAATAAGCCAAAGAAAGCAAATTATTAACCCTGTGAAAATATCAGGAACCCTTTGAATAGATGTGGACTTGAAATCAACGGATTTGACCTTAATCGTTAAAGGACAACAACTTAAATTTAGATATGATTGCTTACTTATGAATTTCAAGATTGAGTTAAATAGCTTTATCATGATGGATTTGAAATAACTATAAAATTAGTTATTTGAAATAATGCTAAGAATTCTCTTTCTAGCTACAAGGATCCTACTAATATATATATATATATATATATATATTCTTAACTTATCTTCTTCCATTGTTTTTCTATCTATTTAACCTCAAATCCCTTGATTTTATTTATTTTTTGTGTGACAATTACAGGAATTGAAATCCACATCTACCCAAATGGACCCTTAAAAGAAGGGTGCTAAATCAATACGAAACAAAGGAAAAGATAAACAATCTTGATAAAAAGCAGTATCTTACGCAACTCTTGATCGTTCATTTCAATCTTGACTAGAGTAACTTGCCATGACTTCTGCTCATTAATCCATAATGGTGCCAATCTGACTGAGATAACATCTAATGTGACTGATCCAGTATCCCCTATCATTCAGAATATGCAATGAAACACATGAAGCAAATCATGAATCCACTGGGACATTATATGATGCATGATAAGTACATCAGGATTTGCATTCAAGTGCTAAGGATAAATTATATGAGCACAAATGTTTCATCTTCTTGTTTGCCTACCAGATCAAAACAGAGAAAGAGAGGAACCATTGTATATGCCTAAGAACCAGTCTGGGTCATACTTGATACATACTGCGATATTGTTATGTGCTTTCATAAAAAAAATATCTAAGCCTTTATGTGCTTTCAGTATTGTTATGGTTTACAAGGGCACCAGCTTGAACATCTGCCCATGGCTGAGAGTTAAAAGTGTCTTTATTTGCATATAATTACATTAAATATATATTCCATATTGGATTTACATCTGAAGATCAATGAAGAATACAATACTGAAGTAAATGATAACTTCAGGTTAGAAAAAAGAAGGCATAAGCTTATTGATATCTGTAAAATAGAGTAAGTAGAGAAGCATTCTTCAATATGTTTCAAAAGTGCCAAGTTGTCAACACAGTTGGGCATGGGTACACCATGTAAAAAATGTCCAACGTGATGATTACTTCAGGGTATGTTGTACTACATATCATAGATTGTAGCCAATATTTCCATTGGGCTTCCCTTTACACTTCATTTCATGGAACCAATCATGTAGATTCTCCTAAATAGAAACAATATTCTTCTCAGCTGGTTTTCCACTGAAAAAGCTTACTTCATAGTTCATGGCAAGAACAAGATCTCTTGAGCAATCATTTTTCCTAACAAAGGCACACGACACACCTAGATAGGGGTGTGGATTGTGGACACGCTAATTCTTTAAGCTACAAACTTGAGATTCTGTAAAATTTAATCAAGAGACACAATACATCATATATTACTCATTCAAAGGGCCATAAAGGTGAGAGCGCACCATGAAGTTTCACCAGAAGACCACTTTCATTTAAACCCATAAATATGGCTTCAACCCACCTGCAGAGTCATATCAAAAGCTTGTATATAAGTGACATAAACACCAAAATAAACGTAAAAGATAGAATTGAAAGCTTGTTTCCAATAATAACTGCAATTTTAATGACTTGGAAGTTGATAAAAGTAAAAATAAAAATAGAAACCAAATGCATTAATATAAAGGAAACAACCATGTTCATGATCATGCTTAGAATATTAATTTTGAGACCACACTCAGAATTTGCAGAAGATTCATCACCATTTCACATTCACATAGATTTGCTCACAGTAAACTCTTTAACTCACAAGATCCACTTCCTAGAATATATCCTGGGAGATAGACGTCCAAATTCTGAAAGCACCGTGGAGAGGACGAATCTGTCTTAAGGACACAGTGTTAAACACTGGACTTGATCAGAAAAGTTATTCAAATAAATTAACCAAGTAAGTTGTTTAATTTTATTCAGTTTTTTATTTGTTTATTTAATCAGATCTTGGTTTTGTTTTTGTAACAAAATAAAATCTGTGGTTTTATTTATTTATTTTTATTTTGAGTTTGATTTTTGTAATCAAACAAATTCTCTCCTTTTCCCTATTTCTTTTAAATTCTATTTGTTGTTGTGTACACAATAGAATTAAATCTTTTAAATACAAGGTAGTCTTGTCCAACATATACATATATGACAATAAACGTCATATGTGTGTATTAATGTAACCAAAAGTTTTGAATTGTCATCAACAGAAGGAAAAAAAAAAAAAAGCCACTAAACATACAAGGCATCTTTCTGTACTAGAAAGTATGTTACTAGCTCGCACTTTCTTGGTTTCAAATAAATTTCATTATTTCAGATAATATTTTTGATAATAGTAAAATATTAAACAGCATAGCTTTAATGAATTATTATGAAGTAATAAAATAGCAAGAAGTTAGTCAATCTATTTGTGTGACGTTACTGGCTACCACCTGGCAATTTTTTTTAAAAAGGTTACTATGCTATGACCAAATTTTATTAAACAAATTAATAATAAGATTTATAAGTTTTATGAAACAGTCCAAGTTTCATCTCTTGGTCTTTTATCTGTACTCAACTAACAAAGCTTTTAAAACTGCCACGATTAATGTTGTCCAACGTAGCTTGTATGGATTTTTATTTTTTTATTTGTTATGTTATTTATGGTTTTTTTTATCAGATAGGAAATAGAATCATTAGTAACTAAATATCACATACTACACATATAGAGATACTATCCATACTCTTTTTTTTTCTTCTTCTTCTTCTTTATAATTGGGTGTTCGAGCCAACTTGTGCACATTTTGACTAATTTCAAGGTCTTGAAGTCCATGACCAGACAAATCTCTAGTTGACTTCTAAAGATGACTCAAACTTGAGATCTTATATAAACTACCTTATTCACAAAAAAGAAAAGAAAAGAAAAGTCGTTCATGTTTTGTCCTAAGTTAATTACATTTGATGTAACGCCCCTAAATAATTAACATATGATAACTCTGATTTAATCTGTTTCAATTAAATAATTATAGCATCCTGATCATTATTGACCAATTAAATCTCTACAGTTGAGTTCATTGATATATGAGAGATTTATAAAAGAAGTCCGCATGTAATTACATATTCAATCTCCTCTAAGTTATGAATCTATAACATGTGAGACAGATGAATAATAAAAGAAACAAATACAAAGTAAAGTCCATTGGGCCACAAGTTTTAAGGCTTAAATCCGATTACAAATAAATGGTTTACAAACTCATGCACATAAGCCCTTGGCTTGTAAAAAATATAATAACAAACAAGAGAGCCTTATGCTCGCGAAACATCCATTCGCCTTCACTGAGGTAGAAAGACCACATCATTTCATGTAAAAATCCACTAGGAGTGAGTACAAAACCAGTAAGAAGATCTTAACAAAGTATATATGTTTTAAATAGTTTTATAAGTATGTATGCAATGCCATGTCATATTCCAAAAACCACAAGTATTATCTATTTGAAATCTCATGCCAATGTTCATTTCGAAAACATAAATACATCGATGTAATAGAATCATAATACAGGATGGTAAATACGACTCAGGTAGTCTCTAAGATGGTGTCTACAAGTAGGTCCCTGTAGACTCTATCAAACCCACTTTACTGGCTCCTAGCCAGAAGGCACGTGGTATCTGCCCAACTTAAATCTCAATCTACACTCACTATCTGGACTTACCACCGTGTTTACTTCAAAAACAATTCATGGTTCAAAAGCCATCACAAAACAATGACTTTATCTTTCCAAAATCATAACTTTAATAAGACATTATTAAAAAGTCATGCAATGAATGATTTTCCATATTCACTATCAATATCAAATTTTCATAATTCAAGCATGTATCAATCATGCAATCCATGTCAATTCTTAATGCCAGAAAAATAAAAAATAAAAATAAATAAATAAATAAACTTATATATCTCATGGATATCTTAACAACATATCAACATATGAAAATTCATCATTTTTTCTATGGAAATTCTAACATTTGCATAAGTTTTTCACAAAATCAACTTTTTTTCAATTTTCAAAATCTAGGGTTTTCCTTCAAAACATATTTCTCCCATTTAAAAAAAAAATGCTTCCATCAATGGACTCCCATGAGTCTCATAAATCCATACGGCAACTAATTTTGCAAAAACCATGAAAGGAATCACTCTTCAAACATTTCCAAAACCCAACATTTTCAAATCCCAAACTTCTAATACAAAATCACATCAATACCAAGTCAAGACATGCTAAAATCATGTATATAACTTAAAGAAACTCTTGACCTCAAGTTTTGGAGTGAAAAGATGAGGAAAGCCCTAGAATCAATGGTGTCAAAATCTGATCTCCATCGCACAAGTTCTAGTCCTTGGTGAGCTCTCCAAAAAGTTCCAATTACTAGGGTCAAAATCCTCACAGGTTTGGAGAAATCAAAGGAAATGTAAGGTTGGTGGAGTAAATGTAGAGAGAATGAGGAGAAAAGATGAAGTAGCGAGAGAGAGGAAAGTGGTAAGAGTGAAGAGGAAAGGAAATAAAAGAAAAAATTCCGAATTCACTAACTTTCCCTCATGTGCATAACCCAAGCCACGCATGCGGTTTTCTCTCATCGCATATGCTTTTATTTCAGAAGCTGCGTCCAAAACTCCACTCATCACCACACGTGCGGCACCATACCCCGCACGTGTGGCTCCTTTCCTGTACGCATATGCGGTTTTGTTTATCTAGATACGATTCTATGTTTTGACTAGGTTTCTCTCCACCTTGGTTCACCTCCGTACTCGAAACAAGAAAATTTTGACTCCAAAGCTAGCTTAGGATGTTAACACAAGAAAATTTTGAAACATGGTGAATTCACACTATAACTCCTCGAAATAAATACAATAACCCAACTACAATATTAATAAATGACACCAATAAGAAGGTAATTATATTCCATTAAGTTCCAATTAAGTTTACAAAAGAGTAGCATATGCGGATATACATTCAAAAGTCTATCCCTGAATCTATAGTATATGTTACACGATAGAATGAACTTCAAACAAAAGAAATGCCCTAAAGGCTTATAGTTTTCCAAGATAGTACTTTATTATAACAAAATGGATAGAAAATCCAATACAGTTAACACCCTAGGCTTGTACAAATAAATACAACAAAAATACACAAAATGAAGCTCTTGCTTCCAAATCCTTATAGGATTAGAGAAATCAAAGGAAATGTAAGGTTTGTGGAGTAAATGTAGAGAGAATAAGGAGAAAAGATGAAGTAGCGAGAGAGAGGAAAGTGGTAGGAGTGAAGAGGAAAGGAAATTAAAGAAAAAAATTTAAATTCACTAGTTTCCCTCACGTGCGTGGCCCAGGCCACACGTGCAGTTTTCTCTCATCGCATATGCTTTTATTTCAGAAGCTGCGTCCAAAAGTCCACCCATCACTGCACGTGCGGTTTTCTTCCCTCGCATATGCTTTTATTCCAGAAGCTGTGTCCAAAACTCCACCTATCACCGCACGTGCAGAACCATACCCCGCACATGCGACTCCTTCCCCGTACGCACATGCAATTTTGTTTATCTGGATACAATTCTAAGTTTTGACTAGATTTTTCTCCACCTTGGTTCGCCTCCGTACTCGAAACAAGAAAATTTTGACTTCGAAGCTAGCTTAGGATGTTAACACAAGAAATTTTTTAAACGTGGTGAATTAACACTGTAACACCCCAAAATAAACACAATAACCCAACTACAATATTAATAAATAACACCAATAAGAAGGTAATTATATTCTATTAAGTTTCAATTAAGTTTACAAAAGAGTAGCATATGCAGATATACATTCAGAAGCCTATCTCTGAATCTATAGCATATGTTACATGATAGAATGAACTTCAAACAGAAGAAATGCCCTAAAGGCTTACAGTTTTCCAAGACAGTGTTTGGTTTCAATAAAATGGATAGAAAATCCAATACAGTTAAAGTCATAGGCTTGTACAAATAAATGCAACAAAAATACACAAAATGAAGCTCTTGCTTTCAAGTCCTCCCAAG